AGGTCAGTTTGCAAATTGTGTCGACAGGTCTGCACTAGGGTAGACTGTGTCATACCTGTCGGACATCGCAGAGCCATATTTCGAAACCTTTTGACGAAGGCTTTGATGGATTCCCTCTTTTTCTGCTTAGTGGCGAGAAGGGTATGGATGGAGACTTCTGTATCCTCTTCAAAGAATCTTGATAGGAAGAGTCTCTCTAGATCTGTCCACTTTTGGATACATCCCACGAGAAGTTTCCTGAACCATTCAAAGGCAACTCCCTTGAGGGTACTAATGAACAATCAAGCCAATATGGCATCGTTTGATATTACATTTTTAGTCTGTAACTTGAAATGATAAATATGTTGGTTCGGTGATCCCGTGCCGTCAAAAGTTTGTAGCGTCGGGACCTCGAACTTTGGAGGATAAGGGGCTGCATCCCATTCGGTAGGATAGGGCCTGATAACTCCCTCATCTTGGAGCTCGCTTCTATTGGCAATGGCGTTGAGACGAGTTTCCAATTCTTCCATTTTGGCAGATTGGAGATTTTTCTAGTTCTCCGTCTCTCTTCCTTCATCAGAGGAAGATTCCAGGTTATGGTCTTCTTGGTCAGAAGCCGTATCATCAACCACTTTTCCCTTCCCTTTGCTTGTGTGAGGTCGGGATGAAGACGCTTTTCCTCTCCGGGAAGATTCTTGCCTAAGCGGCGAATCTGTCTCCTGAGATTTGGCCTTATCTGCGACGATTTGAGTCAACATGGCCATGAGTTCATTGATGGCCTCCTGCTGTGATTTGAGCATGGCCTCCTGCTCATCAACCCTCTTTGAAAGATCTTCAGAATGTTCTGCCATGTGGGCGAAGCTCTCATGCCCAACGAAAGAGCTTGATGATTGGGACTCCGCAATGGCTGAGTGTTCGTCATCGGAATTAGTTCCTCTGGCTAAACTCCAATAGTTGACAGGGGGAATGGCTCATGTTCGCGTCCGAGTACGTTGGTAGACTCCTTCAAACTTGTTAGCGATTTCTCTGACGGTCGGTAAATGACTTGTCTTAGAATCATCGGAACTAGGTCCTGAGGCTTTCCCTCTCCCTATCGTATTGATAGTGACCCCAAGGTATTCATCCTCTAAAGTCTTTTTCCTGTGGGAATGTCGTTGATTATTGAGCAAAACGACGTTCGTTGGTCGGTTGAACATCGACAGCAACCCCCACAAGTCAGAGACTTGGGATGAACCTCTCACAGAGCGTGAGGGTAGAGATGGAACCCCCTGTCCGTTAAAGGATGGGACTGGTTCTTAGCAAACATGAATTTTAAATCCATGTTGATCATTTTGAACACGACGAATCACATCGCGTTCCAAAGAAGGAACACGAGGGTCGTGTTTAGCTTGATTAACGCAAGACCAAAGTCTGCGTTTTGCTAGTGAAACGCAGTCCTGCGATCTGCGTTCGGATTCTGAAACGCACTCCTGAGAGTTGCGTTCAGTTTGTGAAACACACTCCTAAGAGTTGCGTTTTAGTTCTGGGACGTACTCTTGAGAGTTGCGTTCAGCCAGATCAACGCAGGTTTGATGTCTGCGTTTAAATGTTAGAACGCACTCCTGAGAGTTGCGTTTTGGTTCTGGGATGCACTCTTGAGAGTTGCGTTCAGTCAGATCAACGCGGTTTTGAGGTCTGCGTTTTGGTGTTAGAACGCACCTCTGAAGGCTGCGTTCTATCTGGGAAACGCACACCTGAGGGTTGCGTTTAGCTTGGCTTATGCAGAGCTCATGTTGAGGCTCACAAACGCGGAGTTCGCGTTGATTGGAGGATCGGCTTTTTTGGCGTTGTGCCGAAGTTGAGTCTTCTCCTTTAGAGAGGGGACTGTATGAACAGTGCAACCCCCATGGGAGATAGTCTTTAGATGAGTTGGCTACAACTAGAGCTTTAGTCTTCTCGGAAACTTTGTGGATCTTGCGCATAGCTTTGGGGCTAAGGGATCCGGAGGAGAGGGCCTCCCCGTACTTGGATTGATCAAACTCGATAATCAGAGTTTCAATGGTCGTTCCAGTGAGATGAACGTCGGATTGCGCCACCACTTCTTCGTCAGAGAAGCCTGTTCCCAGCAGAGTCGCCATCTTTTGTTTGTGGAAAATTTGATGTAAAAAGACAATGAAAGAAAAATTGACTTGTATTCATCTCAAAATCAATTTTAATTTGGATTCCGATTACAAAAGAGAGGAGAATGAATTTGATTCTCCCCTTTGTTTAAAACTGGGTTTTTCACAGTGGCGATGGAGTGCCTCCCTCGAATGCTCGCGTCGAGTTTGCTCTCCGTTGACGATCCGCACATCTTGATTCACTGGAATGTAGTCTTCTCCTCACGATTTGACGCTGTGGAGAACTTGCGTGGCAAGTCTTAAAAAAATAACTCTTAACGAGTTAATAACTCAGAGCGAGTTTATCTCTATGAAAGAGTTGATTTAAACCGAAAGTTCGGTTAATAAGCCAAGGATAAAGAAGCTCCTGTTGTCGACCTCTAAAGCTCCAGTCGAAGAATGAATGCTCTTCTTTGCTGCCAATCCTCAGGTCCAAAAAGCCAGCCCTTGACCGAATTTCCCTTTGTTGATGAGAGAAAATCCGATTCTTTCATCCCCCCCCCCCCCCCCCCAAAAAAAAAAAAAGAAGGATCCAAACTCACTTGAGTTTCCTACTATTTATAGGGGATTAAGGGTGGTAACTACCCCCTCAATCCGCTCTTAAGTGGAGCGAAAATCCCTCAGAACGTGGGATAAACGGTTTTGAGGCCGTTCAACTTGTGTTTTGAACAAGTCAAACGCCTAAATTGGCGTTCTGGACCTTAACTCTGCGTCTTAGAGATGAGACGCAGAGTTAAATCTCTGCTAGAGATTGGAAACGCACAGGCCGCATGCGTTCTGTAAATTGGAGACGCACAGTTGGGACGCAGAGATGAATTCTGCGTTTTGACATCTGAGACGCAGAGATGAACTCTGCGTTTTGGCATCCGAGACGCAGAGGTGAACTCTGTGTTTTGGCATCTGAGACGCAGAGGTGAACTCTGCGTTTTGAACCTGGAACGCAGAGTTGGGTTCTGCATGAACTCTGCGTTTCGAGTTTGGAACACAGCTACGGCCTCTGCGTTTTGAATCTGGAACGCAGCCACGACCTCTGCGTTTTAAGTTTAGAACGTGGGAACGACCTCTGCGTTTTGAATCTTGGATGCAGAGGTGAGCCTTAAGTGGGCTCGGCGAGCTTCAGGCTAAGTCCGAAGTCCAGTCTTGCAGACGGACTTCAGAACATAACTTGTTGCGACGAACAGGTCATAACTTTCAAACCGTAAGTCGGAATTGGACGAATTATATATGAAAATCGGCTATCTCGACGAGGCGGATCCATCCGAACTGAGCCAAAGGCTTCGGTTCGCTTCCTCTGTTTTGCCAAATTCCTTATGGTTTGAGAGATATCTGCGTTTTAATATGAAGAGACCGTCAATTTGTAGTCTCTTTTGCTAGAGCGTTGCAAAGATCGTCACCTTGTAACCTTCGTCTTGGCTCCTTGAAAATATGAGAGTCATCAGATTGTAACTCCCGATGTTGATTATGAAGGCTGTTGAATTAGAGCTTTCATTAGTTATCGTGAAGGTCGTCAGATTGTAACCTTCTACGATCTACGTGAAAGTCTTCAAATTATAGCCTTCTGGAAGTCGTCAGATTGTAACTTCCATCATCGGTATTTGATGAGGGATCAACTATCTATTGTGATTTTTAGACAGCCTACAGAACCCCCTCCAAAGTTTTCAAAAGTTCGCGGCTCTTCAACCTCAAGATGGCAGAAGGATATTCCTTCACGTTGCATCTCAGCGAGTTCAACACGATTGTTGATCAACTTATCTTTGTGAACATCACATTTGATGGCGAAGTGCAGGCCCTATTGATTCTATCGTAATTGTCGGATAGTTGGTCAGGTTGCATGACCACAATTAGCAACTCGACGGGGAAGGAGAAGTTAAAGTTGAGTGAGGTTGTTAGCATGTTCTATCCGAGGATGTTAGAAGGAAATCGTCCGAATCAGAAGGTTCAGGTTCAGCCCTAAATCTCGAGAAGAGAGGCCGAAGCCAGAAGAAGGGAAACCAGAACAGGAATCGATTAAAGTCAAAAAAAAGAGGACGTACACTAAGGTTAGGCCTATCCAGCAAGGGTTTGTCCACGAGAAATCTCAATGCCAATAAAAACCCCTAAATGTGTGCCAAATTAGCAAGAGAGGGATGAAGATCTTCATCCACAAAGGTCGCCCCTTACAATTAGGGTGAAATTTTAGTGAATTTTGCTTCTACGACCAAAGAACCACATGATTTCGACATTGATTCTTCATTTCCCATCGAGAAAGATCTAGAGTTCTGTATCAAATAATTATAGGACTCTAGTCTAGATTTCTCCCTGTCAAACTCATTTTAAAGTTGAATTTTGAACCGAATCACATCAAAACAAAGTTGGACTTTTTCATCGGCAATCATAAAGTACTCAATTCAGACGATCTCTAACATTTTGAAGTTCATGCTGATGTATGTCATAGGTTACTTCTTCAGTCAGATGCGAATAGTAACAACATTTTGATGTAGTATACGGTCAAAATTTCTCGGGATATGGAGCTAGCAGCCTCTTTGTGAAGTATATCATCGTGATCACTCACGCAAAAAAAAAAGGGTAATTTGACTTAAATATATATTTTTTAATTCACTGAACTTATTATAATATAAAATTATAATCTATAAATTTTATCTTCAACTGTAAAGTCTTGATATATTGGTTACAGGGAGTTTCACGGAGGTCAACAAAATTACAAAGCACGTTAAGTAAATTATAATATAGATGACATAAATACAGGTAGCATGGGTACAATAATAATCGCGTCTATAAATATTTAGCCCAGCCCATAGAAATCACTTCGATGTTCAAACCAGATGACACTAGGCTCGCCAAATAACATTCATTTCGAGCCCAGAAATAATACTAGGCCCATTTAAGCCCATGAAGCCGCCGTCTCTCTTGCGGAGATGGTCTCTCTCGTTTTTCTTCTTATCGCATAAGCTTGCCAGCGTTCTAAAGCAATGGCTCTCTCGTTTCAGCAGCAGCTTGTCCACTGCCCTCTTCATCGCTCTCCCCAATTCGCGGTGAGCGCGCCTATTCTCACTCTCGTTTTTGTTTTTTTCATGCTTGACCTTTTCATCTCTCTCGCATCGCAGACAGCGTGGCTAAATAAAGGGGGTAATTTTATCAGCAGCATTAGGGCTCAGGTCCGGCGATTAATTCGTCTCTCCGGTTGTACACTCTAAGAACGTGTTGAATTTTCCATTTGAAAGCTTTTCAATTTTGTTGTCGTGTTGATTGATTTGTAGGAACCCAAGGGAAACGGGGGCAGTGGAAGAAGAATCTGGAGGCGAAGGAAACTGGTAACCTAAAGTTTTTTACAAACAAGTCCTGAATTTTTAAAAATTTTAAAAATATATTAGTGCTACTGTATTTTTTATTTTTTTCATTTGCCCAATTATCGGTCTCAGCTGTAATCAGCTTTTGCAATTTGACACACAGTAAATTTGGGTGTTAGGACACTGGTTTAATCATTGGTTTATTATAATTAAGCGGCGAACTCAAATTACGATCTTTGGCCATAATTAGAGGTTCTTATTACCTCCAAAAATGTTGCTCTTAATTTTTTTTTTTTTTCAGTGAAGTATTTTTGCCAGGATTAGATGCATACATGCTCAAGAAGCTTGTAACCGTACTCAATGTTTCTAATGCACGTTTCACTGAAGTTGTTCTTCTAGCTTCATTTTAGGGAATATTTTCACACGTCAATTGAGGCATACAATTCCAAATGTCAGATTTAAAATTGGATTGGGAGTAGTGGTAGGTGTTAAATCTCCTGAGAACAGAAATTCAATCCAATTTTGGCCCTTTAGCTTGCTCTATGTCTACAGAAGATAGAAGTTTGATATAACAAGTTATATAAATTCTACAATCTTTGGGGTTCAGAATCCTCGATGACAAAGTATAACATTGTTCAGGAAGAAAATTCAATAAATTTGGCAGCTAATGTTGGTGTGTTATGTGTTTATTTCAGACAAAGAAAGATGACAAATTGCGCTACAAGATGGAGCGTATACCTTTTCTCGAAGAACAAGTGAGGATGATTAGAGAAACTGGAAAGATAATGTCTATGGACATCGCGAGGCTGTTGCTATCAGAGGAGAATAGGTTCGATTTTGTGAACGAGGTGGCTGCTGAAGCTACAGAGTATGTGGAGAACAACAGAGATGAGTACGGATCAAAGAAACCTATATTACATGTACTCAGTAACCGGATGAACGAGGCTGGATTCAGTCGGCCAGAAGCCTATTTGGAGCCTGATCCTTTCAAACCGGGGCCTGGATATTTGAGAAATGAATTGTATGATTAGCGCGTCTTTTCTATTAGTTTGTCAATTATGCAGTAAGGAATCCTTATCACTTGAAGCATATAATAAATCCAGTTGTCTGCATTTCGGAAAGTCTTGTTGCCAAGCTCTGGCTTTTAATGTTGTTTTCTGTGAAATTCTCATATCTGGTGATGAACAGCTGCTAAGTCTCGAGCAGTCTTTTGATTGAAGTTTTCTGCATCCAATGCAATACCTCAATATACTGAAGTATGATGAGCCTTCAAGTGCAAGGTCGGGGATACTATAAGGCATTTAAGTGCAATTAAGCCTTTCTATAACTTAGCATTTACATGCTGCTGTATCAGAATCAAGTTTGACATTTGATTATTGAATTATGATGAAGCGTAAAAAAGTTTATGATTTTGCTTTGTTATCTATGGTTTACCTGCCTCTTATGTTCCTCATGAGCGCCGCGGCACAGAGAAAAGAAATAGTTAGGCCCCGATTTCCACAATTATGAAACTTCAATTTCTTTTATGCAATTTTGCAAGAAAACAAGTCAGGGCAGCTACCAGTTAGAATTACTAGCTGCTCAAAAGATTAACTGGAATCCAATCAAACAAGAGATGCCAACTTGCAACTGAACCGAGTATTTCAAAGTAAAAGAAACGGAAATTATAGTTTCAATTATACAAAAAAAATTAAGGGAACCTTACAAATAAGATACAATAACACTCAGTAATATATTGTTCAGGCAGAAATTTTCACAATGAGGGAGAATTCACTCGAAGGGCCACACGCAAATTAGAGAATCAAATTTGAAAATTTACAACTGTTTTTGTGCTAACAAAGAAGTGTGCTTAATTTTTGAATCCCAGGCCTGACCACCTCTTGGTAACCTCCTTCATCCTCTGTGATGTGTTAACAATAAGGTTCTCCAGCGACTTTGCCTTCTTGTTTCGGGCTCGGCCAGCTTCTTTTAGGAGTTCAGCTAGTCTTCTCTTCTCTTCATCAACATCGGGGTTTGCTGTCCCGAGCTTTTCCTCCCTAACCTTGAGGACGTATTCCAATATCTCAATCGCATCCTCTACCCTGTAATGAATCATCAACAGTGATGTCAAGAACTATAATGCTACGTCATATATTGGATTGAGACTATGATTTCTGTTTATGTGGAAGTTCTGATCTTTAAAACTATAATATTGGTCTTTCTAAAACAACAAAAGCCTAAACTGGGAACTTGTGGACTGTGCCCCTAGTGGATGAGGTTCAAGCATCCATGAATAATCACAGGTGAAGAAGCGCCCAACGCACTTCATTAAAAGAGAACAGAGGAAAATCTTGAAAAGTAGATATTTAACAGGGCCATACACAAAGAAACCTATTTAAATTTCGTAGGATTAGCTGGGATTGTTTTGATAGAAGAACAAGAGCTTGCATGCACATGATGCTCCCAGGTTTTTATTTCTAGCAAGAGGAAAGAGATGACACCATAAATAATAGAAGAAGGTTGAAGGGTGATGGTGACTGGTGGTCCAGTGGCAGTGGCACAAGATTAATGATACCTGAGGTTGCATGGCTACAGGTATGAGCAGTGGTGGATCCAAAATATTTTCCTTGAGAGGCGGACAACATGTGTCTATTTACCTTATTTACCTAGAAGTAAAAAATGTAAATTATAAAACTATAATTCGTAATGGGAATCAATAATACTCTTTGCTAGAAATTTAAATGAGATTTTATTTTCCAATGAATTAATTCAAATTGTTACCAATGTATTTAGTTTTTTGGGCTTTGGGGTGCAATTTTGATAATTTACAGGGGAGCGGATGTAAAATTTTGCATGCATACATGCAATTTTGTAAAATGTCTAGGGGTGCAATTGCATTGCACCCCTAGAATGTGAATAGATGCCTCTAGGTACAGGTATGGGACATGGCAATTTGTAAAATGTAGGGTATGAGGACACGGATACATACATGCATTGTATATTTATATGTATTAAAATTAATAATTTACATAAGATTAATATTATTATTTTTATTTACATAAGATTAATATATAAAAAATAGATGTGAAGTGTAGAATATACATCCAAGAAGTGTATGAGGAGTGTTTTCAATTAGAACATCTATTATATAATTAAGTAGAGGCCCAAATAAACATATGAATATGTTGAAGAACTGTCCAAGAGGTTTCCGTATAGGACGGGTATGTGTCGGGTACGGGTACAGCTTCCTAATAGATGATACCTTAACCCACTGATACAGGAAAATGTGACAGAGGACAGAACATGCTGAAGGAAACTCACATATGATAATATAGAGAAAATGGGATGAACAAACAGAAGAATAGATAAATGTGGAGTGGAGGGTGAAATATCGAGAGATGATAGACATTCAAAGATAGCAATAAGTGGAAGGAAAAGGTTCATTGGCTGTTTTTACAAAACCTTTCACCACTCGTGAATCACATTCAGTAACCTATTACTGTTTCAAATGTTAATCATCTATTTGTCCTCTGTATAGCTCTATTAATGCTCCTGGCAACATGATCCAAGTATAGCTCTATTAATGCTGTAATTGATCTAATCATCTATTTTTAATAAATAAATGCAAATGCTTGACAAACATTGAATCTATAAAAGAGCCCATTCAAGTAAAGGATGCACAATGTTCGCTTCCATTACCTAATTGATTTTCCGTTAGGTAATTCTTGTTGCATTTACTCCTTGTTTCATTCATCCTCCCCAAATTAAAAGATGACCACCCATCATGTTAGGACGTAATCCATACAATATCTCTTGTTTGAGTAATAAACTCTTATTTGGTACTAATATTTATTTGAGATGATATACTACAAATAAATATATTAAAAAGTATACGAGGCGAAACAACGTTAAAATTAGCTCAAAAACTGATTTCAACCTCCTAACCATCAATCATAGGAAGAGCACATTGATAGTCAACAACAACACTCAGCGATGATTTTTTACTACAGAAACTTTCATATTATCGATGGGTGCTCAACCATCGATGGGGCCTCAACACCATTGATGGGCAAGACCACCATTGATGGTAAACATGTAGATTGTAGAATTCTTAAATTTGATCTCAGCCATTTGTCGCTTCTTTTATCTCCAATCTCTACCAAATTTAGGATCCTTTTCCCGCAGTATTGAGGACTTAATATCATTGAGAGAGAGAAAGGGGGAGGGGGGGGAGCAAGGGAGAAGAGTTCTAGGATTTTAATTTGTGAGAGATTTCATTGGAGGATTTGACCCCGGAGCCTCTACGGACTCTTATTCGTCGCACACAACATCTTCTGATCGTTTCAACGAGAATTGTCATTGGATTGATTCTCTATACTGTTCTTCATCGAGCTACACTTATATTCATCGTATGATAGTTTGTTTAACAGAAGGGTTGTATGATCTTCCTGATATTTAGAGTTTTAATTGTTTGTGTTAGTTTTGGTTTGAACTTATTTTTTACGCTATACTCAAGCCCATTTGAATTGAGGGTTGACATTAGATAGAGATAGGTGTTACTCATTGTGGAGAATTAGGTTAAACGGCTAGTTTCGAGTAGATTCCAAGGTGTGATCCTATAGATCTACTGAATCGATGTGATTTAGAACTCTTTGCATAGTAAGAAAGCCTCTTCGCGTGAAGGAAAATTGGACATAGAATTGTTATTCAAACCACTATAAAATCTTGTGTTCCTGGTTGGTTGATATTTGTGCTTGTTTATTGTGGATTGTAGACGATCAAAATATATTTTCATTGAAGATCCAAGAAGTGAATGTCCATAGGCTACACACTTCGAATGGGCCCAAAGCCAAGCCAACAATAAGCTGCAACGAAGGTCACCTGATGATTGAAGCGAACATCACCAAGCAACTCATATCGATTCGATCAAGTCACACACAAGTTGACGCCCCCCTCCCCGCCCCATGCTTCAGATCAAGTCAAAAGACGTCATCAATTGACCAAATCTAGAGTCGAATTTTGAGCTAAATTTGAACTCAAAGGTGAAGTTCGCCAACTAACAAACTTTGCCCACATGGACTAAGTTACCCACGTCCAAAGCAACCTTCGCCCACGACCGAAGCGACATTCACCCACATCTTCAGCGAACTTCGCCCAACCCGCAAAATTCGCCCAAATAGCATTTTCAGAGCTATTTTCGGGGGAATAACCGCTCCCGACTAACTCTTACTTTAATGGTCACTTAATTCACAATTAAGTGGACCATTAACTCTCTTTTAGGTTATAAAAGGAGAGGAAGTCATCTAGACACAAACGAGAAAGACACAAGACATGCGGAGAGAAACACACACACAGAGACATACTGGAGGTATTGTCAAGAGAAGATAGAGCTAGCTTCCAAGCGATCTGATCCTCATCAACAGCAAAAAAACACATCGTCTCAGTCAGTGACTCAACGGAGTATAAGATTGACGCTCCATTGGCACACGGAAAAGAACCCCATGAAAAAAAATTACTTTGTTGCACTATATTTTCTTTTGTTGTAATTTGTGTCAATTACATTCCAAAAGAACCAAAAACACGGATCCCTCTTATTTTTATCTTTTCCACTACATATTATGTGTTTTTGACAAAAAATAGTAGCAACTCTATTCACACACCCCTGCCCTCAGGCGTGCAGCTCAAATCCAAAAAATGATAGTAGAGCCTCGTTACCTATCTTTAAGATTCACAATCTAGAGAGATGATAGTTTAGTTTGACTACTACAACAGTATTTCCTGAGAGACGTAGTTAACCGACCCCCACTTTTTAATGGGATAATTTACACTAATTAGAAAGCACGCATAAAAGTCATTTTGTTGTCCATCGATTTAAATGTTTGGAGTATTGTTGAAACTGGTTGTAGTAAACCTATGACCTTTTATAGCTGAGACCACCATTGTCACTCTTAGAGATAAGTGGTCCTTTTGGTGATTAAAAGTTTTATTCTTTAAACGCAAAAGCTATAAATGCTTTTTATTGTTCTTGAACTGCTTAAAAGTTTAACCGTGTGGCAGATTGTACTACTGTGTGGGAAATTTGAAGTACTTCGAAATTTACACACATAAACTTTACACAAAGAAACTTTACAGGTGAAAGAGGCGAAACTTACAATGTTTGTAAGTATGAGAATTTCAAGATGAAAACCTCGAAGAGTGCTTAATATATGTTCACTCGATTCACGAATATTGTGAACAGACCAAAAGCTTTGGGAAAAGAATATGATAATAAGAACTTGTGAGAAGAATTCTCTGTTCTCTTTCTAGGGATTTGGAACCAACGGTAACGTCTATCGAAGAGTTGCAAAATTTTTTTGCACTAACTCTTGAAAATCTTGTAAGAAATCTTCTAACCTATGAAGCAAAATTAAAAGAGAGGGGATGATTCAGAAGATAACTTAAAGAAGTCGTTAGCCCTGAAAGGCCAAAAAGAATAAATTCCTGACAAAGAAGAAGAAAGAGTCTGGCTCAAGTCCTAAAAATGAAAATAGTCAGGTTGAACTAATTGTGAACGGGTTCAAGTCTTTTCTCAAAACAAAAGATGGACAGAAATATTGGCAGAATAGACCGAATCAATATATAAATAAGGTAAATCAATATCCTTCTAGTGAATCTAAAATTAAACTTATTTGTTATCGTTACAAGAAACCATATCAGTACAAGAACAAATGCCCATTGAACAAGACAGACAAGAAAATGGAGGCCAAAGTTTGAAAGTGACAAATTGGGACATGATAAGTGATGAAAAATCAGAAGCTGGCTCAAACGAGAATGAAAAGAAAGAAAATTTGTGTTATGAGGGAGATACAATACAACTTCAGATTCAGAACAAGGTAAAACACACGACTCCAAAAGTAAGTTCAGAGAACAAGTTATATCCTTCATATAATTAGTTATATTCCAAGTGCAATGAAATGTTGGGACAATTTGAGAAATTTGCTAAAAAAATATGAAGTAACAAAAAGAGTGAATACAAATTTAAGAAAAAAAAAAGAATCTCTTTCC